CCTCTCGTGCGTGCGTGCGTGCGTGCGTGTGTGTGTGTGTGTGTGTGTGTGTGTGTTTTATGGTCTCCCTTCACTGTCATGCCTATGACCCAGGACAGCTATCGGTGGCCTTCGTCAAACAGAGCTGGCCACCACTGCACTCCCTCTGTGTCACTTCCTCATAAAGGGGTCATTGGTTTCACCAGGCACACCATGAAGGCCTTTTTACTTACTCGATGACACCTCAATTGTCTTTTTAATTTCTTTGCATTATGCTAACTGCCGTTTCAGTGTGCATGCATCCCCTGACACCAGTCCAGGCCCCTCTTGGTGTTTAAAAGGAGGGGGAATTGCCTAGCTGTGACAATTCTAATGTAATTCTAATTGCAAACCCTGTCTCCGGAGGCTCGAGAAAGGCCCCACACGGTTCACCCCGTTTTCATTCTTTGACATGCGAGGAGTGTGCGTGGTCCTTGCCAGTTTGCTTTTGTTGAGGGGCGGCTTATTGGTGTTTTCGTTCGACCAGGTAGGGATTGGGAAGGAGCAGCACTCACCACAATATCACACGGTCTCGCAAATCATCCTAAATACTGCTCCCGGGTTATGGACTGTGAAAATCTAGAAATGGGGAAGAACGAACGGCGTCTATGAGAAGTGAAATAACTTGCAATGACTCTTCTATTCATCGTCTCAGAAGCTCCCTTCAAAGGGTTGGGTGTGGCCATGAAAAAAAAAGGTTGTGTGAAACTAATGTGAGGATTGGTTGGTTTCACCAGTCCGTTGGGTATGAATTGAGCCAATTGAGAAGCCGAAACGGAAGGAACTGCACCCCTGCCACCAGTGAAAAGCCACCAACAGCACATTCAAGGTCTCTGGATGAAGTCGTGGTGGTAGCAAAGGACTAAAGCTAAGCACCGACTGAGACCATGAGACAGAGCAGAGGAGCTGCACCGAAACCTCGCCATAAAAGCGTGAGCTTCTTGGCCCAAGGAAAGAGTCAAGGTGAAAGCCTCTAGGCAGGGGGCTGGCTTGCAGAGGAGGGTGACTTTGTAGGCATTAGTCCGCATTAAAGGAGCTTCAGAACCGGTGAGCAGTGCAGAGATCAGTGGACCGTGTGGTTGAGAGGCACAGAGAGATGTGCCTGCTAGCACAGCTGACAAGATGCTGGCGATTAAAGAACTGCATCCTTAATGGTTTTGGAACCTGACCTCGTTACCTGTTAACTTTCCTAATAAACACCCTCAATCTTGAGTGTTGACCGAGTTCTGTGTGGCCATGGAAATGGTATAGGCGGAGAAGTAGCGTGTCATGGGAGGA